ATCACCAGACCTCCCCTCCATTACACAGGTAGGTAAGTTAGCGCTGCTGAGCTTGTCCAGACAGCACACTTTTAAGTTTGTAGTCAGAGTCAATTCTCCGCCATAGGTAATGTTTTTCTTCATCCAAGGGGGGGTAAATATATATTTAGTTTTTACTTTCATGCTGATGAAATAAAGGTGGGTCATGGCTGTGTGTCTTTTATCTGATGATTTTTCCAGAAAAAAGGCAACTTAGAAATTATATGATATTTTAAAAATTTTGTTTTTTTAAATACATGTACCAACTTTTGACTGTTGACTGAAAGGCTAGCCATTTGAATCCACCTAGTAGTGGCTCTACTCGATGACACTTACGTGGTGGCCTACTCCATAGGCTCTGCAAACTCAAAGACAATTCAAATCCACCAGCAGATCTGAGGTGAAAGCAATGGGTAGTCTTTTCCTATGCAGTTTATAGCCTTGGAAACCTAATGATTGGAGGGACAGCGAGTCAGATTGACGTGAGGGCAATGAGTTTTGAATTTAAGTTGTTCCCTGGAGAAAGATCTGCCTCCATAAAAATGATGACTAAGAAAGCCAGATAGGGTAGTTCTGCTCTGTTACCTAAATCACTTTGAGTTGAGGTTGAGTCAGCAATTCCAGCAGTGACAGAGATGGAGTTTTTGTGCTCTTAAGCACAATTAGAAATGCATATTGAGTAAAGTTAATGTTTTATGATATTTTTAAAATATTTCTTTCCTATGGTTATTTGGTCTCTTGAAGAACAGTATAAAGATAGACTTTGCGTATTTTCTCTGAGGCTGTAGTGAAAATTCTGGTGCTCAAGTGAGGAGTAATAAGCCTCCTTGGGGTAAGCAGAATATTGACTGACTCTTCTCTGTTTTGATGCATTTCTTTCAGTGGCCATTAGTCTTTGCTCTCATTTCCACATGTAGAAAGATGACTTATTTGATTTCTGGGCTTTCTGAGATAGTATACTGTGCTGTACTTGATTTTAGAGATTTGCTTTTCCAGTGCCTCCTTTAAAAAGGGAGAATGATGAGCAAGGTTCAAGGTTCTAACCTTTAAGAGTGTTCTGAAGACATTGACTACTGAGGAGGAAGGTGAAACTCATGCTAAGGAGAGTTACCTCGGATAGCTGTGATTTTTATCTCTTTGTCCATTTTCTTTCTGTAAAAATTTATAGTATATTTTGTTTTTCTAAGAAAAACTTGAGTACCCAGCTAGTTAGCTGTTTGGGAGTGAGGCACAAATACCTTAAACAAATCTTGAAAAAAAAAAATACAAGTTTGAGTGAGAACCTCAGAGTGCTGTAGCATACAGGCAAAATGAATTAAAATAACTGCGAAAGAAGTAAAATGTAGCTTTACATGGGATTTTAAAGATTAAAATATATGATAATTATTTGTGAATAAATTTTACCTTATAAAGTATATGAATTCCTTTTATGCAATTTAAAATTAACACAGTGCACTCAAGTGCATTGAAGGTAAAATTGTGTGTTGTGCTTCCTGTCTCTGCACTAGTAACTACTGAGTTTCCTGCTGTCAGAACTCTGTCTCTTGTAACTTTTTTGTCCAGTATTACTTCTTCCCACCTGTCATGTGTTGCTGCATCACTACAGTGCAGGGGGTGTGGGTTGGGGGAATGGCAAAAGTGTCTGTCCCCTACAACCATCTGGGCGGGTGTAGGATGTTGTCTCAGGTTATCTGTGCCAAAAGAAAGACACTAGCTATACATCTTGTCTTCCATGCTCCCTTCCATATATGCTGAGCTGGCGTTTGAGGTAAAGTGGGCCAGATAGGGATCCGTAATGTCCCTAACATGGTCAAAACCATACTCTCTTCCTCCCCCAGATGTTGTACAAGGTGCTGCTGAGAGTTATCCTAACTGATAAGGTAGGGGCCAAGTTGCTGTTAGCTGTAGGTACCAGCAATTGGATTCCTTTTTAAATTTTCCCAGACAATGGTGGCTGTCCACCTTGGAGTGGAATGATAGTCACCCTAGACCCTGTGAGTCTCAGGGCCACCTGTTTGTCTCTTTGCTAAGGAGTATGATTTTGATGACAGCCGCTTACAGAAAAATGGTTATTTCATTGAATCGGTGATTTTCTTGGTGTATACACCTTATTTCCTTCTCGTTTTTGCCTCTTTCTGAATGAAGACAAGATAATACCTGTCCTTTTTAATAACACATTTGGCATTGTCGAGCAACATGGTATCAAACGATTATTCACTTAAGTTTCTACATCTATTACAAATGGCTTTTTAAAGTTCACATGTCAAAATCTATAGGCTACCAAGGAAAAAGTTTAAAATAAAACCCATTCAATTTTTACAGTATACACAATTTTAATAACAAAACTTTCCTGTACACTGCACTTTGTTGCCTTTCCCCTCCCTCATTTCCCCCATATAATAGTATCTTCTCCCCTGCCCCAACTCACCTGCCCACCTCCCACCAAAAATGGCTCTTGAAGGTAACTGAACACGATGTGTTTGGATTAGAGTTGGAGTCTCCAGGCTCCATGTTGATAGGAAGATTCATCAAATGTTCCATGTATAGGTTGATGGTTTTTTGGTTTGTTTATTTGTTTGTTTTTGTTTTTTAAATCACCAAGAAATAAACGGTCAGTTGAAAGAATAGAAGTTCCAAATATTTGCATCCGCAGGATAAACAATCCTTTTGAATTTGTTTTTTACTTTATTCAAGTAATGTGAGTTTTCCCCAAGTTAGGTAGTGAAATACTTATCTTGTGGTTGGTCCTATTAACTTTTACCTATTGCCTATTAACTTTGCCTTTCTAGCTGAAGGATTCTAACCAATTAAATGTGAAAGGTATGTTCCAAAGCATGTCACTGTCTCTTATCATGTAAGTCTGCTGTTAAAAATATTCTTTAAAAAATTTTGTATTGGAATCTATACTTCAATGTGAGAAAATAGGGTATTTATAACATCCCCCTCCAATAGCTGTCTATAGGAAATATGCATTAAGAAAATATGACTATTTAAAATTTTAGAATTCAGGCATAGTGCTATATAGGGCTTATTTTTATTGGAAAGCTTCTAGTAACTAGCATTTGAATAAGCAGATGGATTTTAATAATTAGTGGTATTGGAGAGTTCAGTCACTTCCCTTCATTGAATTGGTACAGAAATTAACTTAGGCGCATTAAGAAATTACATGTGTTAGTGCAGATTTTTGGCTTAAAAAATTAGTGTCTTTGCATTTTTATGTTGGCAGTGGGTATTCTCAGAGTTGTGTGTGGATTTGCAAAATTTACCAGCCCACATTTCAAAAAGGTGATTGAAATCTCTGGCAAGCTACAGAAATAAATCTTAAGTGATTCCAAACTAGCTCTTGGTTGCTGGGTGGGTACAGTATTATAGCCTTTATTTGCTTTTACCTTTCATTTATTTCCAGAAAGATTAAATTGTGTGTTTTTTTTTTCTGGTTCTTGTTTAAATCAGGACTTTTCTCGAACCTCAAAAACTAATGACTAAAGAGAAAAAAGGTATTGAGGAGGGGGGGTGGGGGTAGGAAAGAGAAGAGGATAAATCCTATTTAAAAAGATAAAATGAAAGCCTGAACACTGTGTTAACAGGATCTGCAGTGTTGCCGTGATGTTCCATCCTAGCCAGTTGGTAAAGAGAGCACAGATGCCTAACAGTCTCATCTTCAAACTTGTGCTGATACTGAAACACAGACCAAAATTAAATGGAATCCTGCCTTCTGTAGGCAATAGAATAGGGGAAGTTTACTTTGTAAATGTAAAGGGAAAATACCTATTTGGCACTATTACTCATTTCCAAAGGTTATTATTACAAAAAAGAGGGGGTGGGGGGGGGGGTGGGGGTGGTGGGAAGTCTGTTGTTTTTCAAGGGAAAATGTGCCTTGGTTATGCTCTTCTCCTGACAGTAATAAATAGCAGGCTTTTCCATATACATTTAGGATTTTGCCATTTGGTGGTCCACTTAACCGATTTTATTCATTAGGGTTAATGTGGGGATTCCTAGCCCACATGTCTCACCGTTCCAGCTTACAGTTTGATTAATTTTTATAGTGGTTGAAATAATGGAACATATCTTTCGTAATTGGTGAAATGTTTTATGCTTAAACCACAGTTGTGTTTGACTAAGTTGTCCTCTAATAAATGGCTTGGTAAGTTTTAGCTCTCGAGCTCTTATTTTCAGGGACTTCTGCTCTAGCCCTTCAGTGGAGAGGCAGTGAGCTGCAATCTATCTCGTTATGTCTGCTTCTGTGGCTGCCCAGGCAAGCCCAAAGGGCCTGGTTTAACAAGAAGTGAAATGCTCTCTGTTCAAAATCAGCTGAACTGGGCAGAGGCTTCGTTAGAGTGATCTTTCTACCTTAAACAATTCAGAGAGCATATTTTTACCATGATTTGAGACCTTTTCTTGCATCTTGTTGGGGTGTATTTTTTTTGAGATATAGGCATTAACTCTTGGCAGTATTAACGGTGAGAAACACTCATTAAATGATAAGGAAGGGTTAAATGATGGTCATTATTCAGTTCAAACATGGGAAGAAAGAGTGTCTTGAGTGAAGAGTATCTTATGAATTTAGGAAAAGATTGCTTTCTTTTTTATGGTAGTACTTTTTTCTTATGGATTTGTGCCCCCCTCTCGTAAGATAAATGGCAGTTGTAAACATGTTCATCTAAAATCAGGCCTGTGCCCTGATTTTGCTTCTGTACATATGTATCATTGTTTATGGAAGAAACTCAGTGTGAATTTGTAACTTCCATCTAAACCCTAAATATATCTGCATTTCTCCACAGAAATCATAAGTGAAGAAATGAAATACTTATTCTTTCTGCTTGAAAATATGGTACCATTATCATTTGTTAGTTATGGGATGTTTATATTAACACTACAGAAACCTCTTTCCCTTTTCAGTTTATGTGCTGTTGCCCTGTTAATATAGATTGTGCAGTCACCTGGTTGCCTCACTCTCTTTTTATTTCACTTAATCTGCTTCTCTAAGAAACAGATTTTAAAATACAGCCCTTCCTATTTATCGTGTTACCCCTCACCACCTTCAGGATAACTGCTGTGTGGCTGTATATGCATGTAGATAGAGTGTTCTACCCATGAGTTCACCTCAGTAGTGTGCCAATCCCTTCTTAGAAGGAACTGTTCTCACAATATAGATGGTATGTGTATTAAAAGGTCAAAGTTTAGCATATTCTATTTTAAAATGTGATTTTTCAGTCATATCTTTATAATACCTTCCAACAAGAATCAGTGTTAAGCCTGTTGCTAGCTAGTTATTTAATTCTACTCCTTGAGGTTTGAAATTTTGGGAAAGAGAAAAAGATTTAAATCTTTTTTGCAAAGTAATCTCTGATGATGATTATTGAGAGACTGTGTGTGTGTGTACGTACACATGCACATACATGTACATACAAGTATGTTTGCCAAACTGGAGGGAACATACCATAGAGAATTGACTCAATTTCTCTCTTTCATCTGTAATAGTTTTAAAATATTTAAAAATATAAATGTAAATACAGAATTTAGTAAATTAGTAAAATGACCATTTACACTAGTTTAAAATAATAATCTAAATGCCACACAAATCAATATGTCCATTATAAATCAAAGTAGATGTATGATAAAAAGTCAGTGTAATTATTTGGTATTGATTTCATTGTGATGGGACTTTTTCACAAACACTTGGATTCATTGTTTAATTATATTAAGGAGTCACTCAGTTTATTAGAATTATGTGAAAGATTCTGATTTCATGATGTAGACTTTGATAATATCTGATAACCCAGGCCAAAACTTGGGAAGAAGCGTGTGTAATATTTAACAGATTTCAACATTTGTGAAATTCTACTTCTCATCCTGGCAGTAGATTGTTGATTTGAATTACTACCAAATTATCATAACAGAACTTTGATAAGTCTCTGTTTTAAGCAGCAATCCTGTTATATATGGAAATAGAGAGCAATGATCAAATAAGTATTGATCTCCCCCTATTTTTTTCTGCTCAGTAACTTCTTTCCATACTGTTTTCAGTTGGAAAAAAAAAACGTAGCTTATGGAGACCTTAGTGTAAATATTTATACATGATAGTATATAATTACATACATGAAACATCTTATTTTGAAGTGAGCATTTTCGGCTTTCCAGTAGAAGTGCAAATTAATGTGAGCATTGCTTTTTTTAACACTTAAAATATGGTTTTGTTTTAAAAAAAATTTAAAATACTTAAAACACTTCCAAAACTAAGTCTCCACTTGGTTTGGAAAATTAGGCTTAATGTCACCATTTGTAAAAATTAGATATGTATTTAGCCCCTACTATGTAAAATATCTTACTTATCTGATGTGATTTTTGATGTCAGATGGATATTATACTTCACATTCTTTGTATGGCAGCTGCTGACACTTGCACTGTCCATAACCGTTAATGATGATGAAGGGTCCTTCATGGGTGGGTTCATATTCATTATACGGTCCTTGGTCTGACATGTTTGACATATGGAGTCGTGTTTGGGATCGGAGCTGCCTGTGGTTCTGAATCATTGAGCACTGCCTAATTCTTCTTAAAGTGGGAGGGCAGCACTTCCTGGAGATGAACACTATAAAAATAATAAAAAAGAAAGAAAACAATAAAGCCATTGTTCCAGTAATAACCCTTTGAGTGAAAATGGCATTGTCTGGTTCAGGAAAGTGTTCCTCTGTAGTAACTGCTATGCCTGCAGTTGTTGGGATTTCTTTGTCTCCCACATGGTAACTTGATGAGCTTATTCTTTTTGTATATTCAGTGGTTGGATCTCTATAAGTTGTAGCCATGGCAGTTACAGTGGTTGACAGATTCCAGCAGAGCTGAAAACCATGGACTGCGTCTAGAATATCCTCTCCTTGGGTGTGGTCAGGACTGTGGCATAGGATGGAATGCTCCCACCGACCTTGGAAACTGCCCAGCCAAGAGGCCAACGCACATATTCGGGGGCTGCATTCCCACAGATTGCCAGAGAGGCCAACAGTCGTCAGAGATCTCAGGGAGTTTAAAATCTTAGAATCAAGGCTGCTTAACTTGTTGTTATCCAGTAGGAGTATTTTAAGGTTAGGCATAGTTTCAAACACTGTCAAGTCAATTGCTTTGATTTCATTTCCAGTCAAGTCTAGCTTTTCTAAAGTGCCCCAGGTCCACTCCATTCCACACGTCAAGTTGCTAATTTTGTTCCATTGTAAGAAGAGCATGTGCAGACTGCTTAGCCGGAGGAAATGAGCAAAATTAATCTTCGTCAGCTGGTTGTGCTCCAGGTGAAGCTCTCTCAGTTTGATTAATCCTGCAAATCCATTGCGAGCCAAACTTCGCAAACGGTTTGTGCTCAAATCCAGAAACTCCAGACTACGACAGTCCCAGAACAGGCGTACTGGTATAGTCCGCAGGGAGTTGGACCGTAAGTGCAAGGTCTGCAGCTTCCGGAGGCCGTAGAAAAGCTCTGGGTGCAGAGATGACAGCTGATTAAAAGACAAGTCCAAATTTTGCAGGTTAATTAGTTGGGTAAAAGTTGTGTTTGGCAAATAAAATATTTTGTTGGAGCTTAAGATTAACTCCTTAAGTTTGTATAGTCCTTGAAAAGCATCTTCTTTTACTGTTGAAATTTGATTGTGGTCTAAGTGAAGCCAGGTAAGTTGACTGAAGCTGGCAAATTGATCCCTTTCAAGCTCCGTGATGTGATTGTGCCTCAGAGACAGGCCCAGAGAGCCCTTGTCTGTGGTGTTTGGCACTGAGTGGAAGCCCTGAGAGTCGCAGTAGAAGAGCAGCTTCTCGCAGCGGCATTTGGGTGGACACGCCATACCCAGGGCAGGCAGCATTTTTAAAACCATACTCATTGCATATATTGCTGCCAGCATAGGGGCCCCTAATGGCCACTTGAAATGTAAGCCTGCAGAATATAATTTAAGGAAACAAGAAGATAGGATATTTTTCAGCAGATCATATGGGCTATTGAGAAAAAAAACAACAAAAACCAAAAAACCACACAACAACAACAACAAAAAAACCCCCAACAAACAACATAACATCATGGCGAGAGATTTCCTTGCATATAACTTTTTTTTTTATTTGCTGCAGAAGAACTAACCTTATTTGTATAACCAGACAAAAGTTAAACATCATTTAAAAATAAAACATGTCCCTGCCATGAGCATTCTATGCTTTCATATAAACCTCAAAATTTAAAAAACCCAAACAAACCAGAAAAAAAGAAATGTAACAGTGATTTCACTCCTAAAATGTGAATTCAGTGGCTCATTTTAAAAACATGATTCCTTGCTGTCTGTATAAGACATAAGAAGGCATGGACTTACCCATTCTTCTGAGCACATTGGAGGCTGCATTCAGTCGTGGTTCTTAGACTCAGCGCAGTGAGTCCGTATAAGGCTCTAACGTGCAGGAGCCTTTCAGCAGTTTCCTGTTTTCTGTGTGCCAGGCTCTGTGTAAAAAATTTAATCCACCAGGGTGAGTTGTTTGTATTTTCTTTAGGATATTCCTCTAAAAAGCCGTTGGCTTTCTTTTTTGTGACCACTCTGATCCTCTGAATCAGTTTGAATTATAAGTTATTTCCTTCTTCTCCAACTGCTCAGCTGGTTAATCAGAGCTCCAGTCTCTTCCTTTCTGCAGCCGTTAGTTTGCTTGGTCTTAACTTGTTGATGGCAGATGGGCGGCTTGTTGCAGAGAAGAGCTCCTGGAGCAGCATGAGTGCATTTACTGAAAAGCTTTTCCGAGAAACGGCACAAGAATGGATTTGCTTATGTGCTGCGACCACACAGAACTGTATATAGGCTGACGTCACCGGGTGACGTGTCTTTTGTTTGGGTTTTCCAGAAGCTTTACTGTTATAAAGCACCGTGCTTTTTAACAGTGTTGGGGTTATTGCAAGACCCCTTGATTAAAATAAAGCAAGAAAGAAAAACTCCTGACTTAAAAGCATGGTATATCTTCTGAGTAGGAAGCAGCAATGATATTGTAATAAAGGCTGCATTCAGGAAGACCCATCTGAACAGTGAGTTGGGTTAACAGAGTGATGATTTTTTAATGCTTGCAAGAGCCAGTGTTAGACTGCCGATTCTGCATAGAGAGATCATCTAACTGGGAAGGAGCCTGCACGATTTATGAAGTGCTGATTTAACACCATACTATATGCAAGACAGTGGCCACTGCTCTGGCAGTTTGGGGAGCTGCTACTTAACCGTCTTGCTGTCATGTTTGGTTAAAATAGAAGTATGACTGATTTGCTTTAGATGTATTCGTAAGCTAGCTAAGTAGGCTTGGCTTAAAAATCATAAACCAAATGAAAAAGGATGCCTGTCTACGCACCCACCTCTTAAAAGAGAAAAGCTTCCAAAACAAAGGATTTGATTATTCTGAAAAATCTCATGAGAATGCTAATTAAAGAGACTTCTTTTGCTCCTGTTTTATAACATTTTTAAATCACAATCCTGGTTGGAAAATAATGGTGATTTGATCTTTGATGTTCTTTTACAAGAAAAAGGTAGAGTGATACGGTCATTTTAATGTTGCATACCTTAAGTGCTGGCACTGGAACAGAAGTGTTATAAGACAAGTGATACAGTGTGGCTGGATTTTAACATGCTTCTTTGCATTTACCTCAATTTCATCTTTTCTTTAAACCAAAAAAACCTTTGCTGCCTGTGAATTGAGGCTGTGACACTCAAACAATAGAGCATTTGCACACTTAATATTGACACATAGGAACTTATTGGTGTCTCATGCTAACTGTTGTTGGAATCACTCTAGTGAATATAAAAGGTCATTTCTATTTCCTTAAAGGGATTTTTGTTGTGGCTCCTTTTACTTGACCTCATCTAGCTTTTCTCTGTTAAACAGTGTTATTACTATTTATACCTGGCTATGAATTTATAGCTCCTGGTTTAGTGTTATGTGAAAGAGATTTCTAGTTTGAGTCATTGTCATGTTTTCAGTCTTGGTGAAGGTAAAGCATCTTCCAAATACACCTGGCTGTACTGATTTAACCCTGTACCAGTTTTCCATATCACTGACACTTAGCCTCAGTAAATCTTTCTTAGCTGTAGAGGCACAATCCTTCAGTGTGTATCCTGTGAAGCACAGCCAAAGTGCTCCTTAGAAGCAAAAATTGGGAGACTTGAACTTACATGTTTCAGAGATGTTATCAGGAGGGGTCAGTATTTAGACAATAACTTGATGAGGGTCAGGGAAGGAGAAGAGGACATTTAATGAGATGGCTTGACATAGTGACTAGAACAGTGAAGAATGGCACATGATCAGGCAGAGTTTCGATTTATTGTATATGGGGTGTTTATGAATTGGAAACAACTTGACAGTACTTAACAACACTAGCATCTGTGAAATGAGGGCATCCTTGCACAGTTGTCTTCTAAGGACTTCACCCCTTTGGACAGATCTAAGAAGTCAATATCATAAGGCCTTTTCTTTTTGTGTGGGACTAGAAGACTCCACTCCGAGGTCCCTTCATTAAGGAACCCATGTAAAGGTGCTGTCAGCTGGCAAAAATGCAAATTTGACAGATTGAGTTGTCATTGACCTAGGCTCCAGCTTGTGATAAGAAGTGTAAGAATTTTATTGGAGAAAAATACAGAAATAGGCCTGGAGTGTTTTCAGACCATATGTTGTTATGTGCCATTGAGTCCCTTGCGACTCATAGCGACCCTATGTATAACTGCCCTAAACTCTGTTCTGTCCTGTGCCAATCTCATCCCGATTACCCTAGTCACCGAATCAGTCCATCTCCTAGAGGGCCTTCTCCTCCTGCGCCTGTCCTCCACCCTCCCAAGCATGCTGTCCTTCTCCAAGGACTGGTCTTTCCTCACAACATGACCACAGTATGTCAGATGAAGTCTCAGAATCCTTGCCTCCAATAAGCAGTCCAGTTTAATCCTCTCCAGGATAAATCTGTGTTTTTTAGCAGTCCATGGTACCCTCAATACTCTTGTCCAACAAAGCTCAAAGGCATCAATTCTCCTTCTGTCCTCCCTAGTCATTGTCCAACTCTCTGATGCATAACAAGTGGTTGCAAAGACCATGGCCTGTATCTGATGCACCTTAATCTCCAGAGAGACACCATTGCTTTTCAGTACTTTATAGAGGTCCCTAACAGCCGACTTTCCCATTGCAATACGTCTTTTAATTTCCTGGCTGCTGGTGCCAAAAGTGTTGATCCAAGCAGATTAAATCTGTGAACAATGTCAATCTCTTCACCATCCATCCTGATGCTGCCAATTGTCTTTGTTTTCTTGACATTGAGCCTCAGTCCATATTGAAGGCTGTAGTCCTAGACCCCCTGCAGCAAGCAGGGTTGTGTCATCTGCATAACGCAGATTGTTGATAGATTTTCCACCAATCCTGATGCTTGCCGCATTTCTCCTCATAGAGCCCAGCCTACTGGATGATCTGTTCTGCATACAGGTTCAAAAGGTATGGAGATAGGACACATCCCTGGCGTACACCCTTCCCAATTTTGAACCATGCAGTATTTCCTTGCTCTGTTCTGACTACTGCCTCTTGGTCCAAGTATAGGTTTCGCATTAGCACGATCAAGTGTTCTGGGATTCCCATTCTTCTCAGAGTCAGCCACAGTTTGTTATGGTCCACACAGTCAAATGTCTTTGCATAATCAATGAAGCACAGATAGACATTCCTCTGGTACTTCCTTCTTTCAGACCATATAGCAGGTCTAATAATACCTGTAAAAAGAGATGGGTGGGATTGGGGAAAGATTAGGTAGGTAGAGTCTAATAGTGAAGCCTAGAATTCTAAGGCAGTTGCTGCTAGATCCAAGGAGAATTCCCTTGCTAATATTTCTTGGAAATACTACTATAATACATTGTTTAGAATTAAGAAAGGTATGTTTCAGGGTTGTATTCTTTTTCCATATTCAAGGAGCTGGACTCTGAAAAAGGATGGTAACATTAGAATTGGAGGCAGACTCATCAATAACCTTCGTTATGCAGATGACACAACCTTGTTCACTGAAAGTGAGGAGAGCTTGAAGCACTCGCTGCAGAAAGTCAAATCAAAGAGCTGGACATTGACTAAGGATGATAGAAGAAGAATCGATGCCCTTGAGTTGTGGTGCTGGAGGAGTATTGGACATACCATGGACTGCCAAGAGAACAAATAGGTCTGTCCTAGAGAGGGTGAGATCAAGCTGCTCCTTGGAGGCAAGGAGTTTGAAGCTCTGTCTTATGTTTTGGATATGTTGTCCGGAGAGAACAGTCCTTGAAGAAGGACATCATGCTTGGAAAGGTGAAGGGACACTGTAAGAAAGGAAGATCATGGATAAAATAGATTGACTCAGTAAGCTAATGGGGGTAGGTTTGTCAGAGACAGTGAGATTGGCTCAGTATAAATGCAGGGTTCAGAGCTATTGTATGCAGGGTCACTGTCACAGAGGATTTGATGGCAAATAACAATAGCCACATAGTCTTTAATAAGTATTGCATCTCAACATCAAGAAAACAAAAAATTCTCACCACTAGAACCAATAGGCAGAATCGTGATGGGTGGACAAAAGATTGAAATAGTCAACGACTTCATCTTACTTGGATCCACAGTGAATACTTGTTACCAGCAGCCAGGAGATCAGGAGACATATTGCACTGAGGAAGTCTGCAGCCAGGGACCTCTCTAAATTATTGCAGAGCGGTGGTGTTAGTTTGAGGACTAAGTTGTGCCTTTTTCAAGCCATGGTCTTTTTAGTCACTTGTTATGCATCTGAGAGCTGGATAGTGAATGAGGAAGACAGAAGAATTGATGCTCCTGAACTGTCGTGTTGAAGAGTACTGAATACTCCATGGACTGCCAAAGGAACAAATAGATATGTCTTAGAGAAAGTGCAACCAGAGTGCTCCTCGGCAGCAAGAATAGTGAAGCTTCTTCTCACCTTCTTGGGACATGTTACTAGGAGAAAGTTACTCCTTGGAGAGGGATATCCTGTTTAGAAAGGTGGAGGGATGGTGAAGGGGAGGAAGACTCTCAACCAGTTGAAGTGATACAGTGACTCAACAGTGGGCTCCAGTGTGTCAGAGATTATGAGCGTGGTGCAAGAATAGGACAGGGTTCAGATAGGTTGTTCAAGGGTATGCTCTGAATTGTACTCAATTTGATGGCATTTAACAACAGCAACATTTCTTGTGTCTGCAAGAATAAGGCTGCATTGGTACTCTTACTGTGTTCTACTTTCTGGTCAGTGTAGGAAAAGAAAGATGTCCTGTTGTAGATTTCAAGGATATTGTTTTCCTTATTTCTTATTTCCAACGTGCAGAAAAATTTTGTTACCTATGCTGTCTATAAGTTTATAGGTCTGTTTAGATTCTTATAGACTGCAAGTCAGTGCTTTAGAACACTCTTCTACAGGAACTCCCCCCGCTTAAAAAAAAAAATAAAAACGCAGCTTGACTTTTTCCTCTCTGCAAAGGAAAAAAGAAAAGCTTAGGATATGGTATATGCCATTGTTAAAGCCACCTATCCTTGGATTTTAAAAAACTTTTGCCATATAGGAAGAACTAGATTAAGTTCATCCCTCAAGTAACAATTTTAGTTCCATGTGGGAAGAAGCTTTTGATTCAATTGGATTAGAGCAACTATGCTTAGGAATGAGCACTCTAATTAAGAAGGAGAAGTAGTTCCATCCTCTTAAGACTCTTGGTTTCTTTCTACTTTCTTGTTTGCTTGGCATACCTCTTACATCCTAACAAATTGAAACTACTTAAATCATATTACTCC